ACTATCCCTTGGTCTCATGGCTTATGAAGCTGAATGCAGGCAGTTTGGACTGCAATTAGGAGCAGTTCAACTATACACTGATCAAGTGCAGAATGGTAGTAGAATGTGGTTATGGACATTTAAAGAGAATGTTTCACCATTTATTGACACAATTAGATCTCAGTGATAGCAACATTCCCATTATTGTGGCAGCCAGCTGTGTGCTCCATAATATCTATGAAAGGGAGACAATTTGATGTCAGGTTTGGGGGTCGAGGTAGAGTGCCCAGCCCTAATTATGAGCAGCCAAAGACTAGGGCAATAAAGAGAGTATACTGAGAGGCACTGCAAATCACAGAAGCTTTGAAAAACAGCTTTGTGGAAGGTTAGACAGTACTATAATAGTCATGTGTGTTGCTCTTAAAAAGAGGTTCCCTCTGCATGAAGTGTGCTTGCCTGTAAACCTTGGAAGCTTCCCCCTTGCGACACAAACAAAAAAAAGATATTGTTGAGAAATGTCTTCCCTAAATAAGAACACAAGCAGGGATAGAAATGCAGTTCAAGGGGTAGCTTTCAGAGGGGAGAAGAAAAGAATGTGGCGTATTACATAGGGACATTAAGTAGCAATTAATTTGCTAGTTGACAGAATTTTCATCGACTAGTCAATAAGCACTTCCACGTTCCACCTTTGAAATGTGCAAGAGACCCCAGCAGGAGCTCTTCTGCATTTCAAAGTTGGAATGCTGCACGGAGCCCAGAGCCAGGAGGAAATCCCGCTGACTCCGGGCTCCATGCAGGTGCCCGCATGGAGCTTAGGGTCAGCGGAGGACTCAGAGCTGGGGTCTCTTGCACATTCCAAAGATGGCATGCCACATGGAGCCAGCTGATCCTGGGCTCCACCTGGCATTTCAAAGAGGCAATGCCACACAGAGCCTGGGGTCAGCAGTCCTCAGCTGATCCCAGGCTCCATGTAGCACTGCCACTTTGAAATGCTGTGAGGAACCTGATGCCAGGCTCCCTGCAGCATTCACTTACTGCTGGCTTGGCATGGAAAGTTACCCTACCATGGAGGATGGAATAAGGCAGGCCTCCCCAGAGACTTTGTGAGAAGTTACTCTTAAAAAGAAGTTCCCCCTGCGTTAAGTGTGCTTGCCTGTAAACTCTGTAAGCCTCTTTCATAGGATGAAACTATGAAAGAGTTGCCCTATGAGAGCTTTATGGAGATGTACAGGGAGGATTCCCATGCGATCTCCAGACATGTTAACAAGCTGTTTGGGGAGCCCCAACCGTGTAGGCAGAGTGGCTGCCACAGATCACACCCAACTGCCTTAATCAACTGTTGACAAGATGATAAAATGTGAATTCACCAGGACCTGGCAGTGAGGTGTCTGGGGGGATTGTCTCCAAAGTTAAAGAAAAGGTCCTGACTGTCAGTGAGATCAGATAGTCTGCTCACCTGCTGACCAATCTTCTCCTCCTCCTGAGCCACTGTCCTCTGCACTGCAAAGCTGCTTGAGCAGCAATCTTGGAAGGAATCCATGGACTGGCTTGGGAAACTGGTTGGGGCCTCCCTACGATCACATGCAGCTGCTCCAAGGGGTATGTTTGCTGTGATGACCCCGATTGTCTGTTTGCCTCCTTCGTCTTCTGGCACAATTGCCTCAGTTCTTATTTTCACATGGCATTGCTGGGTCTCCCTGACATAGCTTTTCTCTGCAATCTTGACATAGATATCAGCATTTCTTTGGGGGCTTCGTAGTTATGTCTGAACAAATTTCTTTCCTCAAAGAAATGAGGTCCAGGATCTACTGCACACTCCATGCTGGAGCTCCTTTTGTAACCCTGGGCATTCAAGGTCAGGTGTGCTGCCTGCTCTGACATCTGCTCACTACATTGGCCACACAGGAAATGAAATTCAAATTTTCCTGGGGCTTTCCTGCGTACCTGGAGAGCAGCCGAGTTGAAAGTGCTGGCCACAGTGGAGCACTGTGGGACACCTCCCAGAGGCCAAGAATGTTGACTTTCACAGAATCTGCATTACCCAGAAGTTGACCGTGCAATGTTGTATTTACTATCACCCCTTGTAAAAAGCAGAAGTACCGATATAGACTTTTCATGGCTTTTAAAGTCGACAGAATAGTCTTGGTCAGGCTGGAGCAAAATACAACTTGCAGGCTGCATCCAGCCTGCCAAGTCACCGGATCCAGCCTGGGGATGCTGTGGGGAGCCCCAAGCAGGCTCCCCACTTGCCTTGCCCCACCCACATGCTGCTCAGAAATGTGCCTTTAAAAATCTGAGTCAGGGGGCAGGGTGCTGGGGACAGTGCTGGTGGGGGCAGGGGACAGGGTTGGGGGGAGCTTTAGAAATGGCTCCCGCCCCCAGCACAATCCCATTGGCTTGTTTCTGGACAGAAACTGGTTTCAGTAACAGGCAGCCACAAAGCACAAGGGGCTCCAGAGCACATGGCTGCAGCCTGTGCAGGCGCAGGGCAAGCAGCAGAGTTCCCTCTAAATTGGGGGCAGCACAGCTTCACAAGTGATTAATCAGCCCCACCCAGTCAGAAGTTCAGGGCTCCATGCACAGAGCTGACTACTCGGGGCTGATGAATCAACTATGAAGCTGTGCTGTCTTTAGGGTTCCCAGATGGTTTCAACAAAAATACTGAACACACTTGATATTACATCACAATCTATATTACATCTTATTTAGAAAATACCGGACATTTATATTTTCTCAATTTGTTTCCCAAACAGAAAGCTCAAATATTGGAGTGTCCAGTTCAAACCCGGACACCTGGCAACGCTAGCTGTCACACAGTTTAGAGGAAAAACAGTCTGGCATAGGGGATGATCAGGAATAGGCTGCTGGCTGGTAAGTCTCCTGGTCAGACCCTGCCTCTGGCACCCCAGCCCCATCCTTCCAACCCTCATCCCCCACTCCTCCCCTCTACTCCAAATACCCAAATCCTCTGCCCCCCTCTCCCACACTCCTGTACCCATATCCCCTCCCAGATCTGGCACTCCATTCCCCCGCCCCAGATCACAGTCCCCTCCTGCCCTAGCTCACATCCCAGCACCCCCTATTGTGCCCCAATTCTCTGCTCTAGGTCACAATCCAACCTCTTGCATCCTAGTCAAGTGCCGCATGTCATAACTCCCTCCTCTCTTACCCCAAGCTCCCTTCTGCACCCAACCTCCATCCCAGACCCCCATACCTCCTCCATGAATATCATGGAAGAGTGCAGCCCTCAACCACTTCCAAAATTCTTGGAGTGGCTCCCCAATCAAAAATTATTGCCCGCCCCTGGTCTTGGTGGTATGGACTCATTGTTTAGAAAAATGAACCTAATACTGTTAAGTTCAACTTAAACTCCCAGTGTAGACTAGACCTTGGTGCTAAATTCTTTCACCATTGCCATGCATGGAAGCATTTTTTAATTGCTTTTTGAGGGTTGCTGCATTATGCAAGCCTCTTAGTCACTTCTGGATCTCTCTCAAGCTTCAGAAGTAAAGCAGTCTTGTACTACTTTTTTCAAGACTTTTTAGTTGCAATGGAGGTGTCATAACACTATCTTCCCACAAGCAATGTCTGAAAGTCACATTTGACAAATACAAATTATCACCATTGGCACAACTGTGCTAACTTGATTTTTGGGTTATCTGTGACTACAGTCTCATTGCCTTAGGCCTGTTATTATATGCTATTTACTTTCAACAAGATCTGGAAATGAGACTATATTGGTTATTCAAACCTACTGTCTTTCTGTAATACAGAATTAAAGGCAGCAAAGGAAATATTTAGCACTCGATGTCTTGAAATCATTGTAAAATCATTAAACTATAAATATATATTGTTTAAAACACAGATACTATAAGTACACGAAGAAACTGAGGAAGAGATTACAAAATTTCCCCAAAATCTCCAACACCAATTCTGAAAGGATTAGAACTCAGAAACTGTTCATTCTCAATTTTGTGCAGTTTTCATGTAATCAAAACTTCAATTTAAAATTTAGGATAATATAGATTTATTTTAGTAAATGCCAAAAACTATGGACCAAGAGTTTACTCTCAAATTATAATCTGAAATTGTATATCCACTAAAAGAGAAGAATTTTACTTGGAGCATGAAGGATACTGAAATAAGCCAAATTGTTGTTTTTTTAAACACCATACATCATTCTGGCCATGTGACTGCAGCAGAAAATAACTTGGAATATTTTCTACAACATACTTATCTATGTTTATGCTAGACAGAATTGAAAGGTCTATATCATGTTCTGTAGGTACAGAAATAGAAGTTAGCACTTACCAGACTGGATGCAGTAACCTCACTATAAAGAAGTCCAAAAGGTACAATGAGGAAGTGTTCCTGCTCAGAACTTACTCTGGCCTAAGAATACAAGAAGAATGAAAGCTAAAGCTTTACAATAAAAAATTGTAATGTTTTAAATTCACATTGTATGATAAGCCCTAGAAAGTACACTACACAAAATTACAACAGAGTTTTCAAACATGGGAGATGTACATATTCTAGAAGCATAAACTGTCATGCTATTTCCACTGTAACTGACAATTTATTAAATCATGGTACTGTTGTTAATAGTTAACATTTAGTAAGGCCACAAAAAGGCTGAGGCTACAGTTTCTCAGGCTGGTTGAAGATCAATGAGTATGTAAGATGTCAAGCAAGTGCCCATATCCTACGAAGAGGGACAGATAACCATCTGGGTAGATAGACTGGTTCCCTAATACCACGTGGGTGGCACAGTTTTGTAGAAGCACTATCATCACAGGTAGTATTAATGTCCTTGGAAAACCTTTGTTTGCCATAGGAATGTGGGATTATGAAGCAGAAGGCTTGTGCAAATTTAAACAAGGCTATTAAAGAGCTTTAACTTACTGAGTGGGATGAGTCAAGTAAATGCCTTTTCATGGTGATCAGTGGGTGGCATGCTTGGGGCCTCTCCCCACCAACTATCCTGCTCTTTAATAGGGTTGTTAAAATGTGTTCATTCAGGTAAACATTAACTGCTGAAAATTTCAGCAGTTACTTGTTTACATATGAAGAGGGAGGGATGCAGCTCTCCAAGAGCTGCTTCCCCGGCCCCCGCAGAACTGCTGCCTCTGATACAAGAGTCCTTACTTGCATATTTTATTTTAATAATTTAGCTCCCTCCCCCCCATCACCCTCAAGTGCATTTCTTGATTAACGAACCGCATTTCTACATAAACGTGACTAATTTTATACTCCAAAATGAGTTTTAGGTTTTAAATTAGAAAATATATCAATTAATGCATTATGATGTTACATAAAGGAGTTTTTCTGGGGAGAAGAGGCATTGAAGGAATAAAATATTTCATCCTACTATTAGCCTTTAGAGAAAGGGGGAGGGGAACAAAAAACTGGATCCAAAGTCCATTTACTTCAATTGGGATTGAATCCAGTTCCAAAAGCATTACCTGGGATTGTACCATTACCAAATTCCTCCCTAAAAAGGAGGAAAGAATCCAGAAAGTATTCTTGTTTTTTCTAATCCCAATAGTTCCAGATTGATGGAGATCTCACCACATTTAGAATACAATTTTTATCTCACCCCCACTTCTTCTAATTTAAACTTTCAACTCCACAGATGCCATTGCTCAAGTACAGCACCTTTTATAGCAGACATATACTACTCCGTAAATCTGTCACCATATGGTAATTTAAGACTTGCTATTAGCTTAACCTCTAGTGACCCAGACACATAAGGAGAGCTATTGTGTTTTCAAAACTCAAACAATCCCACTTGACTGTGTACCATGTTGTTATCTTGTTAATTTAACTGACGAAGCCAAAAGGTTGCTCTGACATTAGCGTTTATCCTTCTGCAGGGCATTCCAAATCAAACATCCCAGCAGAGACCTGTTCACATAAGATCAAAGGAATTCACGTACTTCATACATCCAGCGCCCAGAAAGACCAGCTGTTATATTTACTATATGTACAATATATAGAATTTAATGAGCATAACACAAAAGTGGAAAAAACTTTTAAAGCAAATCTGCAAAGCAGACACAGCCAGTAACCCATAGACCCATAACTTTTTAATAAGACAATTTATTAAAAAGGCAGGTAAGAAACTAAGTCTCAACCCCAATCACATTTGTGCCTATTTGCATAATAGACCTTGTTTCATTCACAGTTTTTTTGAGGTCATTTTCAACATGCTAAACCAATCTTTCAAAATGACGACACTTCCTCTGATGGATAATGAGTTACGGATGAACCATATTATGTGGTTACACAAAACAATAGCGGAAGGAATCATCTAACATAAGAACGGCCATACTGGGTCAGACCAAAGGTTCATCCAGCCCAGTACCCTGTTGCCAATGCTAGGTGCCCCAGAGGAAATGAATCAAATAGGTAATGATCAAGCGATCTCTCTCCTGCCATCCATCTCCACCCTCTGACAGAGGCTAGGCACACCATTTCTTACCCATACTGGCTAATAGCCATTTATGGACTTAACCTCCATGAATTTATCTAATTCTCTTTTAAACCCGGTTATAAGTCCTAGCCTTCACAATCTCCTTAGGCAAGGAGTTCCTCAGATTGACTATACGCTGTGTGAAGACGACCTTCCTTTGATTTGTTTTAAACCTGCTGCCTATTAGTTTCATTTGGTGGCCCCTAGTTCTTCTATTATGGGAACAAGTAAATAACTTTTCCTTATTCACTTTCTCCACATCATTCATGATTTTATATACCTCTATCATATCCCCTCTCAGTCTCCTCTTTTCCAAGCTGAAAAGTCCCAGTCTCTTTAATCTCTCCTCATATGGTAGCCATTCCAAACCCCTAATTATTTTAGTTGCCCTTCTCTGAACCTTTTCTAATGCCAGTATATCTTTTTTGAGATGAGGTGACCACATCTGTATGCAGTATTCCAGATGTGGGTGTATCATGGATTTATAAGGGCAATAAGATATTCTCAGTCTTATTTTCTGTCCCTTTTTTACTGACTCCTAACATCCTGTTTGCTTTTTTGACTGCCGCTGCACATTGTGTGGACTTCTTCAGACTATTCACGATGACTCCAAGATCTCTTTCCTGATTAGTTGTAGCTAAATTAGCCCCCATCATATTATACGTATACTTAGGTTTTTTTCTTCCAATGTGCATTATGTTACATTTATCAACGTTCAATTTCATTTGCCATTTTGTTGTCCGGTTATTTAGTTTAGAGAGATCTTCTTGAAGTTCTTCACTGTCTGCTTTGGTCTTAATTACCTTGAGCAGTTTAGTATCATCTGCAAACTTTGCCACCTCACTGTTTATCCCTTTCACCAGATCATTTATGAATATGTTGAACAGGATTGATCCTAGGATTGACCCTTGGGGAACGCCACTAGTTACCCCTCTCCATTCTGAAAATTTAGTATTTATTCCTACCCTGTGTTTCCTGTCTTTTAACCAGTTTTCAGTCCATGAAAGGATGTTCCCTCTAATCCCATGACAACTTAATTAACGTAAGAGCCTTTGGGTGAGGGACCTTGTCAAAGGCTGTCTGGAAATCTAAGTACACTATATCTACTGGATCCCCCTTGTCCACATGTTTGTTGACCCCTTCAAAGAACTCTAATAGATTAATAAGAAATGATTTCCATTTACAGAAACCATGTTGATTTTTGCCCAACAAATTATGATCTTCTATGTGTCTGTCAGTTTTATTCTTTACTATTATTTCTACTAATTTGCCCGGTACTGACGTTAGACTTACCGGTCTAATTGCTAGGATCGCCTCTAGAGCCCATTTTAAATATTGGCATTACATTAGTTATCTTCCAGTCATCGGGTACAGAAGCGGATTTAAAGGATAGGTTACAAACCATAGTTAATAGTTCCGCAATTTCACATCTGAGTTCTTTCAGAACTCTTCAGTGAATGCCATCTGGTCCCAGTGACTTGTTACTGTTAAGTTTATCAATTAATTTCAAAACCTCCTCTAATGACACTTCAATCTGTGACAAGTCCTCAGATTTGTCACCTACAAAGGATGGGTCAGGTTTGGGAATCTCCCTAACGTCCTCAGCCGTGAAGACTGAAGCAAAGAATTCATTTAGTTTCTCTGCAATGACTATCGTCTTTAGCTGCTCCTTTTGTATCTCAATCATCCAGGTACCCCAACTGGTTGTTTAGCAGGCTTCCTGCTTCTGATGTACTTAAACATTTTGTTATTACATTTTGAGTTTTTGGTTAGCTGTTCTTCAAACTCCTGTTTGGCTTTTCTTATTATATTTTTACACTTAATTTGGCAGTCTTTATACTCCTTTTTTCTATTTCCCTTACTAGGATTTGACTTTCACTTTTTAAAAGATGTCTTTTTTAATCTCTCACTGCTTCTTTTACATGGTTAAGCCAAGCCACGGTGGCTCTTTTTTAGTTCTTCTAGGTTTTTTAATTTGGGGCATACATTTAAGTTGGGCCTCTACTATGGTGTCTTTGAAAAGTGTCCATGTAGCTTGCAGGGATTTTACTTTAGTCACTGTACCTTTTAATTTGTTTAACTAACCTCCTCATTTTTGCATATTTCCCCTTTTTGAAATTAAATGCCACAGTGTTGGGCTGCTGAGGTGTTCTTCCCACCACAGGAATGTTAAATATTATATTATGACCACTATTTTCAAGCGGTCCTGTAATAGTTACCTCTTGGACCAGATTCTGCACACTACTCAGTACTAAATCAAGAATTTCCTCTCCCCCTTGTGAGAGCAGGTTCCTGTACCAGCTGCTCCAAGAAGCAGTCGTTTAAGGTATCAAGAAATTTTGTTTCTGCATCTCGTTCTGAGGTGACGTACCCAGTCAATATGGGGATAGTTGACATCTCCCACTATTACCGAGTTATTTATTTTGATAGCCTCTTTAATCTCCCTTAGCATTTCATAGTCACTATTACTGTCCTGGTCAGGTGGTCGATAATAGATCCCTATTGTTATATTCTTATTAGAGCAGGGAATTACTATCCATAGCGATTCTATGGAGCATTTTGATTCATTTAAGATTTTTACTTCATTTGAAAGTAAATTTTCTTTCACAACGTGCCACTCCGCCACCTGCATGACCTGTTCTGTCCTTCCGATATATTTTGTACCCCGGAATGATTGTGTCCCATTGATTGTCCTCACTCCACCAGGTTTCTTTGAAGCATATTATATTAGTATCTTCCTTTAACATGAGGCACGCTAGTTCACCCATCTTATTTTCTAGACTTCTAGCATTTGTGTAAGCACTTTAAAAACTTGTCACTGTTTATTTGTCTGCCCTTTTTTGATGTCTCAGATTCTTTTTATGTGAATGTTTTTCGTCTGATTTGGCCCATACTTTATCCTCTTCCATCTTCTCCTCCT